TTTATAGGCTCATAAAAGCATGTCCTGTCCACAAGACAAGTACAATGTTTGACATCCCACACATAGATTAAAAATAAAGATACAATACAGAATATTTTATTTGCTTTTATATTTTCAATTTCAGTAAGTAGGAAGTTATAAATAGCACACTGAATCATTATATAGTTGATAACAAGCCATGCTGAACTCTTCATAATTCACTCTCTTGAAGACATTTCTTTTACATTACAGCTAGGTTAAAAATGTATGTACTTTGTTATAAACAGATGGCCTTTCAGTGCAGGACATCACACAATGAAACTGTTCTCAGAAGAAATTTTGCCAAAGTATTTCTTATACCAAATGATACAATTTATTTTTCATAGCTACCTTGCATTCTTTAAAGTGCTTGGTTATTATAAATAGAGCAAGAATGTCAAAGGAGGTAGCTAGTAGAAATTTTTAATGGGTTAGAACCATTACCAAGTGTTACTACCTAAAAGTATGATTTGATGCATAATCCCAGATCTCTAAACAACCCAAACAGCACATATTTCATCTTCTCTGCCATAAAAAGAACTTTCAAATTGCTTTCAGAAAATCCTAAGACCTTCACCCATCCAACAGAGATTTTATCCAGGTCTAAATCAATGTTAAAAGTCCATAAATATCATCATTATTTCCATTTGGCTGCTGTCAGAATCCCAGCAATTAAATACTGTTCTTTTTCCAGCTGTATTCCATAGACAAGAGAAATTTGACCAGGAGCAAACTTTCCGTCATGAAGTTCCTTGTAGCCAGATAATGTTTTTGTACAGTAGGCAATTAAAAATATGAACGGGAGCTGCGATACTTTTCAAAGTCTCCTACATTTGCACTTTCTAATCTAAAAATTCTAGTCTCTATTTGCTTTATTGATGGCTTTCCTCAGCAGCCAACACTGCACCAGACCCTAAACTGGAGAAATTGTCAAAGCAGCCCTTTATTTTTCTCTGAATGGCTCAGCAGAAGCATCACAAAACAATTTTACAAACTTCTCTATTAAGTGGTCTTTTACAGAACACTTATATATACATATGCTTAATCACACACAAGGCCATGAGAAAAGTCCTCTTCATATAGTAATCAACAACTGATATCCCATTTTATACAGCTTTAAAAAGTTAAAGAATAAAGTTTCATTTTCCACTGCGAACAGAGATACAGAACCACCTAAACCTTTCTGCTACGCATCAGTCTGCTGTTGTCCCAACTACAGCAGTAGGAAGACATCTGGATCTCTGTGGGTGTTCTCAAAGTCTTCTCCACCTCTCCTCTTTAAATCTGCCTAAATGCATTTGCTTGCTTGTGTAAGCTTTTACTTTTAGGCTAATGTTTGTTCTGCAGTATAAGTAATCTTCTCCCACAACATTTTAAGTAAAGATGAAAGTAATTCTCTTCCACACACTTTAACTAATTTTTAGACAGTTTTAGTACAAAATTTGGAATTCTTAAGAATTTGTATATGAAGTCAGCTACCCTCATTTTCCTGTGCATAGGATATATTTAATTTCTCAATAGATTCTATTTTTTAAGCAATTAAGTTATTGAGCTCACTCAAGATAGTATGTATGTATAGAGGTAGAGTAGGTTTCAGAGATGTAATTCTTACCACTGAAGAATTCACTCAGATAACCATAAAGCATCTCTGTAGTGTGAGGCTCTTGACTTCACCGAAATCCACTAAACACTCATCAAGATAATGAGTATTTGAAGTTTATTTCCTTTCTGCAAGTACTGATTCTGCAAATCAACTGCAAAACCAGAACTTGACCTACCGTTCCCCGTAGTATTTCTGAAAGTGGTATTTACTAATCCTTTGATGAAAATGTAATGTCATAAAAAAGGGAAACTTGCATTCCTACACACAGCCTTACCACTACAAATAGTCTCTCCCATGATCATCGAACTGATTTTATGTCACCTTGTATTGAAGAACAGAAAAGAAAAAAAATTAAGATAGCTGAGTATTTTTACAATATTAACTCCTTCCATTTGATATGTCCACAGCAAAGACACCTGGTGACATGCCAAGAGTCTGCTTTTATAATGCATCTGTTAAAAATATAAGTTTTAAGCCACTAATAAGATATTACATTCAAAAGCAATTACTACAATGCTACTGATCATGCATTTACTTTTTTTGCATAAGAAAACCACAAGCTTTCAACATTGAATTTCATCAATATTTCACCACATTTTTCAAATTAATAAAGTGCAATTAAAAAATGGGTGCTGCAGCTATCTAATTTGCTGTATTATAAGCTTTTAATAGTAGGCAAAAAGTGCCCAATACTACTGTATTCAGTACATCACAGCTTTGCACCCTGTTTACTAAAGTCCTTGCCAAAGTCACAGGTCTTAATAGTTTTTTTCACAAGAAAACTGTCTTCTGATGCACAGCAGATGCATCAGGACATACCTGTAATATTGTTTAAAAAAAAATTAGAAAAGTTAAACCTAATGCATTGCAAAATAGAGTTTTAATTACACTAAATTTGTACGTAAATCCAAGGTACTAGCTGTTTTAAAAGAGTTATTTCACTGCCCTTCAATTTCAGATTGTTGCCCAAAGTGTATTATGCAGAGTTTGTGGTTTTTTCCTTTTAAATAAAGTTTTAACATTAATTTTATTTTAGCTTTACTTACTTCACCCCCCCTCCCCATCAGACACAAGTCTATCTATAGGTGGAAGAAACAGACCATTTTAATGAATGGTCTCCACAAAGAACAAAATATTTAAAATATCAAAATATTAAAGATTAATGCTAAGGAATTATGAATTTCAGAATATTTTCATGAGTTATCACCTTAAAAGTTGCTCCAAATCACCTTGTTGATTTTTTGCATCCTACTTCCCAAATAACAAAAGCAGACTTCTGCTTTCAAACATATTCTCCAAAATGTTTCAATTTACTCCACTTGTTTTAGAAAGGAACAAGCTATTACAAAACAATTCCCTGATCTAGGGATTTTAAAACCTCAAGAAAAAAGTACTTCATATATACCTTTAAATCTCAAAGGCAATAGACACACAAAGCCTTTTTATGAAGCCTAAATTTTGCATTAGATTGACTGAAATCACATTTTAAAAGATACCAGGTTCTGCAGATTAGCATAAAAGGGAATCGGTTTCTTTCTGCAAAGGATCAACTCTAAAAGACTATGGATTTAGCAGTACCCAAATGAGGTACTGCACTCACGCAAATCATACAGCTCAGCAGATTAATTGCCAACTCTCCCAAGGCATAAACAGATCTTTTGTCTGCAGGCCTGTGAAGTATTAATAACCACAGAATGCAAAAACCAGAAGTACTAACAATCCTTGCTTTCTCCGCTAACAAGGCAGGATTGGGAAAAAAGCCTGACCAGCTAAACAGTAGAATTAGGCTTTTAAAAGTGAGTGTTACACTTTTCCAAACAATACTCCCTGACAGCATTTTAACTATGGTACTGAAGTCATTGCAGCTGCCTCGGTTATAAGGCATTTCAGCCTACCAAGTCCTCCTGGGGTCTTACAGACATCTCATTGGAGTCCCGCAGCAGAGCGCACAGCACAGGGCACGCACACCTCCGACTGCAGAGGGACAGCTCACAGCATCCAGCTTTCTCAGAAGGACTTATCATCCTACTCAAAGTAAATGCTTTGTCTTTTTCCTTAAAAATAAACAGACTGCCACAATAATTGGGATGTGCACTAAAGTGTCACTGAAAATGGATGCTTTCACCACGCCTTACCAGAAGTTGCAACAAATAACAAATAATGTGAAGAAAAAAAAAAACAAACCACAAAACAAAAAACACAAAACAAAGCAAAACTACATCAAGGAAAAATATTAGAAGTTAATCAGTCCCGATTCCAATATGGTTAAAAGAAACAAAACCAATTTACACATAAATTTAGGTCTCAAAAGAATTTTAAAATAAAACAAAACTCAGAAATTCCTCAAGTTGTATTATAAGTTAGATTTAAGACTATTCTGAGATGATAAGGTTCTTCTCTGATGACCTCCAAACCTTCAGGTTTACAGAAGGAGGAACTGAGTACCTATTGACAAATGTGTGTTTAAAAAATAAAAATAAAAATTTGTGTCTATGGAGGTGAACTGTTCCTTCTACAGAATTACCATACAGCTTTACACAAGTTTGGCACAGTTAATTTAAGAATGTTTTTAGTCAACACCTCAGATTTCTGATTTGATCTACATGGAAAATGTGACAAAAACCCTCAAGACTTCATATCAAATATGACATTTGTTTGAAAAAAGAAAAAAAAGCATTACTGGAAGGTATACGTCATGTATACAGAAGAATTCCATCCCTTTGCAATTAAACTCTGAATCCAAATAGCCAATGGTTACAAATACTCCAAGGAGAGTTGCAGCACTTTTCAAAGGTAGTAGCAGCAAAGGAAAAAGCACTCCAGTAAAAATTACATCGTTTCCACATATAATTTACCAAAAAAAATTCTATGGGCAACTTAGAAGATGTACTATTGCATGTAATGTAGCACAGCAAGTGTGAATTCTTCCCATCAAAATGTGAATTTTAACCATTTTTAAGATATTATGTAGTCTTATAATACAGCATTTTAGATTAAATTTTTTTGTAAATTTCCCAAAATGTTTTGACTCATATAAGGTAGAACAAAAAGCAGTAAAAGACTTCACAGAATCAAAGCCAAACTTTTAGCTTTTCTTGCAAAAATTAAAAAGTTGTCAAGAATGAAATCTTGATTGTTATTCCTAGAAGAAAACATAGAAACGTGACTGGAAAATTGCACCATATCAGGAGTTTGGGGAATTTTTCATTTTCTAAAAAAAGAGATATGTCAGTATTCACTGGATTTATAAAACACATTAATCTGAGAAACCTGAGTGAAACACTTCGAACACACTGGTGGACGACAAGCAAGTAACCAGTCTAGTCCTTTCTGATTTCTGTAGCTTGTAACTGCTTAGAACAGACACGTGAAACTCATCTGTGTGAGCTTTTGCTTTTATTCCTCACGGGACAGGATCCGTAAAGCGTGGCCCTGGGTGTGCAGGCAGTGTGGCTAGGGAAAGAGTAAGGTCAGTACAGAGGTAATACCTTGTTTCCTTAATAGGAGCATTCCATGGCAGAAATGTGCACTGTTTCAGTGAACCCAAATTATTTTCATAGCAGAAATTTCATTTCATGTATGATTTCTAGGCAGATTTTCCATTTCTGTGAGTTTTGGCTTCCTTGCGTCCAATAAGACAAATGACTTTGTAGCATCCTTTTGCAATTTTGACCATCCACATCACGTTCATAACATCCAAGACAACGCTTGAGATAATCCAGGCGCTCTGGGCTGCAAATCCTAATCTGTGGAAAGCTTCTGTTCCAAATGAAGCAATTACATGGCTGTAATATATAGGCATGACGGCAATCCTCACCACGAAGAACACAGCTGTCATCAGCACACCATTGATGATGTTGGCCTTTGAAGATTTGGGATATCCCAGCACTTCAAAAAACCACCTGCAAAAGAAGCGTTCACAGATACCAGGCAGACTTGAAGCCATCTCATTTAAAAATTATTTTACTTCATGGTTATTTTTAATTAATGATTTATTAATTGCATCTACCCTTATAATTTCTAAATTATTGCACTGTGTCTTGGCCTAGTTGCAAACTCTTCTGCTTGGCTGCGCTTTCTCCCTGCCACTTCAGCAGTGTGCCATATCCCGTACATTGCAGAATAACACATAGAAAATCCTGATGTGAACTGTAAACCAGTTGACAACCAGTGTGCATTTCAGTGACTATTGTGTAATACACAATAATAAAAGTATCTTTTAAAATGATGAAGATAAATTTATTACTAACTATTACAATTTGTATCAATGGGCAACTAAAATCTTCTCTGTTTCTCCAAAAGCAATTCTAGAATTGTATTTGGGTATGGTAATCTAGATACAGCTCCAATTTATCGTAATTGGGATTTTCTGACTGCTGCTCTTCAGCCCAAAACAGGAACTTCAAAAGCAGAGATTGTAAATGGCTCTCAACCATGTCTCAGCTTGGAATGTTATGCAATGAAAAAGATAACTCTAAAACCTGCCTCTCTATCTACTACTGGGTCACAAGTGGTCTTTAAACAAGAATTGTAGCACATTAATTCCTTAGTAGACAGGCAGAACTTATCTATTGCCTGGCATACAGAACCTGAGGATTGAATGCTTAGAAAAGGGAATAACAAACTTCTAATTCTTTGCCACTCACACTGAAACCAGAATAAACACAAGTAAAATTTGTGCAGTGATGGCAGACAGGACCAGAGAAAAATAATTTAAATCATTATATTCATGATGGGGAAGGGAATGAAATAATCAGTTTATTTCCAATAACATTCAAGGCTAGAAGTATTTAACAACAAAAAACAACAACCCAGTTCTAGAACTGGTTTTAAAAGTAATTTTTAATTTAATTACCTAAAGATTGCAACCTAAGTAATTATTTATATACATATATACATATATACATATATACATATATATATACCAAAAAGATTTGCCAGACATCCAGCTTTAACAGAAATACTCCAGAAATTCATTAAGCATGCAACTAGGACAACTAAAATCCAGGCATTGGAGGTGACAGTCCAGCCTGGAAGCAGGATGCTTCATCACAGAACACCTACTGGGATGATGAAGAGAAAGACCTGATATGTTTGGTCAGATTTACAATCAAAGCCCGTACTTTCAGTGATACATACAATGCAGAATCAAAAAGTAATATAAAAAATGTTTTTCAAATATACTGCAATGTGCCAATATAGGTAACTGGACATCAGCATAGCAACTTCCCTCTCCCAGCAAATTTAAAAAAAAAAAAACAAACAGAAGTCTGTAAATCACAGTTACCATTACAATTTTACCCATCACAGTTCAGAATTAATTATATTATTGCTGATACTAACATTAAAATATCTAAATGCTTGGCATACAGACAACCTCCAATTAGAGATCCCTAACAACACAGACAGGAAATACACAGACAGTTCTGAGATTAGAATATCTTTCTATATTTTAATAATAGCTCTTTTGGTAATACTAAGAACGCATAAAGAAACATCATGTAAGTCATTATCATTATCTAGTACTTACTGTCTTAAGGGTCTGATTCTCTTCAAATTTAACGGGGAAAAGAAAATCATGCACTAATGAGATCCCTTAGTGCAAGGGACTTTATCTCCTGCAGTGATTTCTGCTATTCTGAGAAAGCTCTGAATGTCAGTATTCAAAGACTCACAATATCACCATAGGCACTTTTAGAGTATAACGTAAATAACTTTTAATAGACAGATGTATCACAATGCTTCCTAATGCCACAGTCTGAAAGGTAAGCATCAGTACAGGTACCCCCTTAAACCCAGGATGAATTCCTGTCCTGGTAGAAGTCAGCTGGGGGAACAGCCATTCCCTAGGACATGAACATCAATACAAAACCTAGAATATAGTATCCCCTTCTTTCTTAATGAGTTAAAAGAAGCGTTTATTTACTCTTCAGTTTCTCTGCACACACAGAGCACAGGCTACATTAGACTATGATCTCCTACTCAACTGCACTGGCATAAATGAAAGCACCCTCTGGAGAGCTCCGTTATCCCACCCACTCCTTCCGTAAGTTTGAGTTTGCCAAACTAATGTTCAAAAGGGATCTCAGCACAATCTATTTTATTCTTAAGAGCTCTGAGGAATGCTACAGTGTCATAAAATATTTCAGAGTTTACAGTCACAGTGCAGTAATGGGTAATAGCCTGTCTGCAGGAGGATTGCAGTTTCTGTTTGCCTTATCCTTTCCCTACCAGATACCTGGAAGGAAAAACAGATGCCACACATGTAGAATCGGTAAAGTAGAAATACACCCCAAAAAGCATGGGTGAGGAATAGATATCTGATACACTGAAAGATCTGATCCTACACTGCAAAACAAACAGAGGAAGAGGAGACGACTGCAGCACTGCTCTATTTCAAAGCCCCTCACCTGAGGAGAAGTCTTTCTGGGGCAAATCCCTGTCCCCACGTGGGTCATGGTGGCTATGGAATAAGGAAAAAGGCCACCCTCCCCACAGCACTGTGAAACTCCACTGACAGCTTTCCCATTCTCTGCAGTTATGCAGCATTATCATACTGCTTTTCTGATACAGCAGCAAATCCAGTAGAAACACTTAAACCAGAAGCCATGGCAGGATTTGACTCTCACTGAACTTTGCCAAAGAACCTTCTGTCCCTTTCTTCTCTAATCATGAGCGTGAAAATTAACCATTCCAGATAAATGTAGACGCTTTACTATTTTTCTAATTTTAAGTGCTGAAAATAACTTGCAGAATTATTTTTGAAAGCATATAAAGAATATACATTTATATTATTGATCTACACATGTGCAATATTGCAAAATAAACTTCAAATTATATAGGGCAATGTAATTCCATTCTAGGATTCTGATGACAATATTATCTTGCTTCTTCTCCTGGTCCATGATACAAAGAAAAAATCCATATTGAAAATGCCTTTATTATAAAAATTAAATGAATATACAAAAGGCAATAAACAATATGCTATTTGTGAACTTTTTTTGTTTGGTATTTTCATAAATTTTGGCATTTCATATGAAGTCTGGTCTAATCTAAAAAGGAACTATGGGGTGAATACGTTAATTATAGTGTTGCAGCTACAGCAGCAAAACATCTTCACAGCAAAAAAGACTTCCATATAGTAATCCTTAGTTCAATATATATAAATTCCCTTTCAGTAGACATTCAAAATCGACAAAACAACTTCCTGAGTGATAGAAATAATAATGGAGATTAGATTTTAAAAGAACTGTGGAAACATTCCCTAACCACTTACCGTTGATTGACAAAAGGAGTGGAGAACTCTGCAAGTAGACGGAAGTTTCCAAAATAAGCCAGCAGACCTTTGCTCTGGTTAGCAAAACAAAACAGACATACAAAAATCAACAATGTAGATGTGAAATTTTCATTTAAGTCTTCAAGTATACACAGAATGATACAACATCTCAAGTTCTTTATTTAAACTGATGGTGAGTTTGCCAGCTGTGGCCACCTTCCTTGCAATTCCAAAATGAGTTTTATCATAAAGGCTGCAATTTCCCTTCAGGTGTCTCTGATCAGTAGCTTCTTACTTCAAATAAATCTTTTAAAGACTTACAGTTAAGTGGTCATGGAAAGCTAGTTAGAGAAGACTTGCACAAGTAGTCATAGGTTATAATTATCATTATACTAGTGCTGTCTAAAAGAATTACAGATATTTTTGATTTCTCAATGTTTAAACAAGCCCAAACAGGAACACTGTATGCTAAAGAAAAATCTCCCCACGTTGTTCCAGGAACATTATTTGCCAAAGCAAAGATGAATTCTCAGCTTTGATTTGACAGCAGAAAAAGCATGTAAAGCCCTTTCATCCAAGAGCAGAGCTATATCCACGTAATAATAACAACTGCTTTAAAGTTCATGCTAACACTACATTTTCTGTTTACTCTAGCAACAACTAATGAATTTTCTGCATCAGGGATTAGCTTTGGTACTGGTATTTTCATTTATCTAATATTCAGCTCTAATTCACTTTCATCCATGATAATATTAGTAGATGTAATTATCTTCAACCTGAAACAGAGTATTTACTTGTCAGTGTACTTCAGCCCCTTTAAACCATTACATGGGAAATCTGACACTAATCTGGCATCTGGACACTTTTAATATTTTAAGCCTGGGATTCACACAGCAGGCAGGGAAAGAAAAGGGGTAAATAAAGTAAACTGTATTTTGTAAGATTGCTTTACTGAATGAGATTTTCAAAAGAAATTCAAGAGCATTATTCTATTCTGGACACCAATGGGATTTCTACCAAGTTACCAGGACATCCTTGAGAAATTCCAGCAACAGCAGCAAGGACTACCTTACTCTTTATCCTATGACTCAATCCTTCCCCTTTTCCCCTCATTGTATGTGCACCACAGATCTTTATAGATATATACAATTAATGGTATATTGTTTCCCCACCAAATTAACCTTAAACAAGAAGTCTCAGAGGATCACTTTGTCATAATTGATAAAAAAAAATAAATTCATAAAACAGAAAAGAAAAAAACCTACCCCAGAAAAAACACATCTATCTGACTATACTACATTCATCACAGTTAGGGATCACTGACCTGTGGCCTTGCAAATACAATCACAGAATCATTAAGATAGGAAAAGACCTTTAAGATCAAGTCCAATTGTTAACCCTGCACCGCTGTGTTCACCACTAAACCATATCCCCAACCACCACATCCACACACCTTCTGAACACTTCCACAGATGGCGATTTCATCACTTCCCTGGGCAGCCTACTCTGATGCCTGACCACCCTTTCAGTGTAGAAATTCTTCCTAATACCCAGTCTAAACCTCCCCTGGCACAACTTGAGGCTATTTCCTCGTCCTGTCACTTGTTACCTGGGAGACAGAAACAGAACATAACGACCTGAAACATTTCCTTCTCATTTTCCAACTAAATATTCAAGCTTATTCTTTTATTTGAAACCCTTTTCTATAACCATATGAAAAGCCCTTCTGTCAATGCCTCTTTACAGCAAAAACTGAGAAGAGTTTAAACTTCAGCCATTACACATTTTTGTTGAAGGAGTGTAACACTGAAAAGGCATGGGCTTACCACAAATAACAGATGAAAACATTTAGAAAGAACGATGACTGAAAGTATAATATGCTTTTCACTAACAAGTGAAAAATTTTTTCAACATTAAACAAATGAGATACATAAAAGCATTGTCTTCAATCTCATCTGCTTGTTATGTTGCTAGAAAATACAGCACTTACCAGTACAAAGGAGTAAGCATAGAGAGCTGCCAAGTGATGTATTACAAAAAATTTGTCACCAATTGCCTTCCAGTAGCAAATAATAAGCAACAGATCTACAAAAGAACAGAAATAACTATAAAGAACATTTTACTATACAACCACTGACCTCAGAATAGTTTCTGTAAGTTTTAGAGATATACCAAGATAGAGCGTCAGTACAAACTTTCTGAATCAATTATCTCTGACAAGAGCATCTTTATCCTAAAGACTTTACTTCAGTCAAAAAATTAAGCAACAGTATTCTCCCGACAATTGTGATAAATTATTACTTTCCCAAATAACTTTAGCTGAAATATTTTGGAAGAAAAAGTGGATCCTGAATCTCATCGTGACATCACACTAATCTGGAACAAGTGACCAAATAAAAAAAGGTAGGGGGTCTACAGAGGGCATAGTAAATAAACAAATACATGCAATAAATGCAGGGATCTATTATGGGGAACTTTGGAATCAAAAATGGGGAACCGTTTACCAAAATATCTTGCAAAAGACACTTGGAATGAGAAGCATATTACTTCTATTTATTCAAAATTTTCCAAGTACTGCAAAAAATGACATAGCGGACCTGAGTTAATGTTATAGGGAAAGCTTTAATAGAAATGTTCTTTCTTCTCCCATGACGGCCTGAGATTTCAGATCTTTTCTGTACTGGAACAAGCAATTTCTGGCTCTGCTTTCCCCAAATGAGAACTTTGGACTGAAATATTAGTGACCATGGTTCCAAATCAAAGACTTTACCCCTGTGTCCCTTGATCTCTTTCATATTAGCTATCCTCAGGCAGGGCTCTATATCATCTGACATAGCCATTACACTTCCTATTAATAATTAAACATTAACTATATAAGGAAGTGAGAGAGAATGAGTGGCCAGGTTGAGATCCCTGTTCAAAGGCATTAATTAATTCATAATTAAAATCTAATGCATAACTATTCAAAAATAGATACTGATTAATTTAAACATAGGAGCAAAAGTAATGCAAAAAACAGACTTAAACTAACCCACAGTTTAACAGTGTGCTGATCACCAGATTATCAATTCCACTGGGGTGAGTAATCTAATCTGAGAGATAAGCAAGTCCATGGCCCAGTCTCTGTCCAGAAACTTCAACCTAACATGAGAAGTTTTCCATGAACTGAAAGTAGCTCAAGTCACAAGTTTTTACTTAGAGAAGTTACTATTTTCCCCACATAACATAAAAGAAAGCTCCAAAGCATTTTGTACCAAAATTTCCATGACAATTTTAGTGGACAGCAAAATTAAGAACATAAAACATACGTAGGAGTAAAGACCATACCAAGAAAATAATTTAAAACTCCCCTGTTTTATACATGTTTAAATTTTGGCTTAAAGTGAGACTAAAAGATGGGCATGCGAGATCCTATGGCATCATTTGCCTCAGCTTCTGTTGAGGGCTACTAAAATTCTTCTGCCAGCATTCTGAGGTCACAGGAAGAAATGTACGATAAAAAAGCTACAAGTTGTAGACACTGTGAAGGGAGTGAAGGGCAATGCTCTAACACCTCCTCAGTTGGCCAAAGGACAAAACTGAGCTGGAGTTGGCGGTTGCATATCAAACCATCACAAAGCCACACTGCAGTATTTCCTCAGTGCTTGGGGCGATATTCCATCTTTCACATCTGCTAGCAAGATCCTGGGATTTCACCACAACCCACAACTCCATTAGCAATTAAAAAGCCACAGTAGAAATTGTATTGTACGCACATATCACATCTTCAACATAGCGGTCTAGTATAAATATATAAGTGTAGTCACTCAATATAAATATACAGATTGTGTGTGTTATATACATGTGCATAATTACCAGAAATGAGGTAGCCTGTGGTAATAGCAATATTCAGCTTCACCATTGAAGGATCACCCCTGTAAACATACCAAAAATACATAGTTACAGCCTTTTTAACAATGTAATTTGCAAAGGACATACACATATCAAACACAATGTCCATCAGGTCACCTTATTGTTGGCTCATCAGTAAGATAATACACAATTTGGTTAAGAAAGGTTCTAGTCATGAAAATTGAATCCTTTTCTACCCAGATAAAAGACATCCACTAACTACCCTAATCAGGATTAACCCCTGCCTTAATGTAGAGACTGCCCCAAGAGCCTTGCTAGAGGTTAGAACTCAAACAGAGCAAGGTACTCTGAGCTGGCTTCTCTGGAAACTGAGGATGAGAGAGAACAGCCCAGTCAGTGTCTTTTACCTTTAACTGACACTCTGTGTCTCCAATTTTGTTTTCTGCCTGTGTCAAAACTTTTCTAAGGATGACAAAAATATCTTGCTCAGTTGGTCCTTTTCATACTCATATTCATAATCAGATGGATGCTTATAGAGATAAACAGAATAGAAGCAGACATGAAAGGAATTATTTGGCAGTTCTTTAAAGCCAAGGAACCTTCGAGGAGAAATGCTTTCCAGAGAAGTTTCACACCTTTTTGGTGCCAAACAAGCAGCAGGCAAATCTCTTAGTAGCACACACACAACTTCAGTTCCTCAACAATGTTCAACAAACCCAGACTTATGATTACAGATGAAAAAAGGGAAGCATCCACACTACAGCAAGCAACATTTGTACTTTACTGTCCTCTTTCTACTTTGAGAAGTTTGGTAAGCAAATCTCTTTTCCCTTGATGTAAAGATCATAATTTATTAAGTAAGTTGTGCAACTAATCTAGCTATGTTTTGTGTAAGTATGAATTGAGTTTCAAGTGACAGATCAACCCATTCATAAAATGCAGAGTTCTCAAGACAAGCTGTGAAAGCAACCTTTGTCGTAAACCTTTCAAGAAAAAAGGAACCTAACAGTGCTTACAGCCACCTCCAGTACAAAGTCTACCCCAGCCAGAACACAGTAAAATGCTATTATTTAGCTTTAATTTCCTAATCTTATTAAAATGGAGCAGTGCAAGAGATTTCCTGTATTATTAAAATCTGTTCACTAAATTTTAAGGCTTTCTTAGTATCTGAAACTAACTGCTTCCCTCAGTGAGAGGGGAGCTTACAGAAAATAGGGCTCCCAAACCAGAATTCTGCTGTAAGATGAAATAAAAACACTATCAGGAGAGTCTGGAGCTCACTCCACCTCTTAAGGTTGGCCATAGAGGCTCTCTTGACTACAACTTGAGATAGGAACATTTTTCCATGGCTTCAAAACCTGATTTCATGAGCTACGTGGGTTGTGGGTTGAGTGCTTTTTTCGGTTTAGACATAGAGCATAGACAGATGTGTTCTCACAACTTCAGCAGAAACTCTTCGGTTACAAGCCCTCCTGTTGGAGCTCCCAGATGCAGCAGCAGCAGCCTCACAACCCAACTTCTACGTGGTCCCAACACATTTTAGCACATCAGCACCAAGACTGAGCCTTCATATTCTTCTCCAGAGAAGATGCAAAGGACTGAGGATATGAAAGTTGTTCCTTGATACTGGGAAACATGACTTAACTGGATGAGATAGGGAATGGTTCACTTCCCTTCTTTTTTCCCCAGAGAATGGTCACTTTGCAACAAACCTTCTTAAGACTTTCCAAGCCAACACTTCAACAACATATATGGCTGCACTGTCCATCACTCTCTTCCCTTCAAGTAAAGTCCATGTTAGAATCCCAAAATAATCTCAATTAATGAAAAACTTAGAGTTTAGTCTAAAATATTCTAGGTTTCCTCATCTACCTCCTTGAAGGGAAAGTGCAGTGGAGTTAATGAGCACTGATGTTGGCAGCCTAGTTTTGATGCAAGCAAGAGCCAGGAATGACAAACAGGGAGTGACTTGAATAAGCAAATGGGAAGAGCTGCCTCTTTGGTGATTGCTAGGGAGGAATGTGTGGCAAATGAATTACACGTGAACATGCACAGCAGAACAAACAAAAGTACACAACTAACTTTCTTCAAAGTTCTTTGCAGATACAGTCATATAAAAGGCTAATCAAGCATCGGACTTTGAAAACTGTAATGACTATAAAATGAACAGTCACAGGATAGAGTCTACAACTTAATTCACTTATTTCACTTATTTACATCTTCTCTCTCTCCTTATCTGATCTCTACCACCTCCACATTTTCTACCATGTGATTCTCACCACCACAAAAACAATTTCTACATAGTCTGTGTTAGCTAGTCTGTAGTACATACAGAAAAAAAGGAAAAGCATGAGGAAAAGTCCCAGACCATCAAAAAAATGGATATATACACAACAGTGATGTTTCCCTGTAACTTACCAATGCTCCAGTCTCTGTTACGAGCTACCCTATCTATTTTCAGTAATACCACAATTCTCTCTCCATTGAGCCCAAACCCTTAGCAGGAGTTCTGATCTGTTCCAAGACATATGGGTATCACTATCACCACGTATTTCAGCTTTGCATGAACCCAGAAGTTAGGCTGGCATATGCAGAGGCTCAGAGCTGGTGATTTTTCATTATAGATAATATATATCAAAACCTTCCCAGTAGTCAAAAATCTGAGCATTTTCAGACGACCTGGGCTAGATCTGTGCAATCAATCTGCACGAAGGATTCCTGGACATTCACTCACAAACTACTGAAACTAGATTCACAAATATTTCTTGTATTATTAATAAGAAATTCCTACAGAAATACTTATGCATCCTTCATGTCTGTAAATGACCAAGTCCCACAGCTTATAAGGGCATTACATGCCCAGACTGAGCAGCCTTGTAAAAGTCCATCTGGCATTTCCCATAGAATTTGGTTTTTATCTCTTCAGTCTTACTAAGGTTTCATAAGCAACATTAAGTTTTCGATATATATTACAAAATATGTATTTACATACAACAAAAAATTTCTGAAACTTACTAAGAAAAAAATGGTTTGATTTCTATTTAATTTGAATTTTTCTTGGAATTGCTCCTGAAAATTTAGTAAATGTAAAGATCCTATTTATTTTTCATCACTGAGAGGTTTTATTTCTGCCATTCATGACTTCTTTTGTACTGTTTAGAACAATATCTACTCAGATAAACCAGGATAAAAGCCTCTATCTGATAAAGCCTACAACACTCACCAAGAGAGTCATAATAACGTGCTGCTTTTAACATGGTTAACAGATCTCATAAGATATTCAGACTGTATTTGATCTCTCTAAAGATATCAGGATGCAACCAAAAAAAACAGCCAACCTAATTATATATCACTACATACAGAAGAGGCCAATGTTGCCTAAATATGCGTTATGCCTCAGTGTTACATTTATTAAAGTCACAGAACAGGTCCATGGCAGAATGCCTCAAGAACCCAATCCTGTCTAGTCCATGCTATATTGTCATTAACTTACGATAATGTACGAGAGGAACAAACATCAGACCCTGTATTTAGGTGAGTTTAAACTGACTCCCAGTGTGGTCCTTTGACAAGGTGAAATGCAACAGTCTATGACAGAAACATGAAATGAAACTTAAAGTAATTAGTTATTCTTCAGGAAAAATATGGTCTCCTCCGTCTATAGGAAAAGAGTTCCAGAGGGTAATGAGTGAAGTGTCAAAACACCAGTACCAATCTATAATTAACTCAAATAAAATAAGCCATATTGTTTCGCCTCCCTCAAAGAAGTGTGAAATAAAACAATACAATTAAAAAATCAAGAAAATATAAGCTCACTGTAGAATATTTTGTTAAGTAGACAAAATATTAGAAGCCCATTTATTAAATATTCCTATTGCTTGGGTAGCATTTAGCCCTTGAAACTTTCATATGTTTGTTAAAATGATTGAAGGAGCTTTATGGGAGGCAGAAAAATAAACATCTTCATTTATCAATTTAGACATATATATTTTAGACATATAATAGGCCACTCTAACTTTGACAGAGACATACACTCTCCAGATCTGCAACAGCTTTTCAATTTCACTTTAAAATTATTAAAGAGATAGTTGCGGTCATGCTTAGTTACAGTTTAGTCTTTAGTAATTTATTATGCTATTCCAAATCAATTGCTTGTATTTTATCTATTCCACTTCACAGAAACACACTGAACTAAGACATTATTACTGACAAAATAATTATCAAATTTTCAAATAGTACAGACATAAAAATCAACCCATCACAACTGCATATTTTAAACGGAAATGAAATAATTATTTCAGTAATTAATACACTGCAGGATTTTTTTTTCTTCTCAATTATGTTATTTTATCATGTAAACACAGCATCTATGGTAACGTGCCTTACCAGATACGGTCAGCATTAACAGCGTCATCATACAACAAAATATATAGGCAAAACCCTCCAACCACCAAGGCGTGGAATGTGGACACTGTCCTGAAAAAGAGATCACAGTCACAATGAGCTACTGCTGTTCACAACTTCTTATACTGTGCTTAAGGTAGGATGTTTCCAAAGACATTCTGCAATGTATCCAGATACTTCTGCGGAAGACAATCATCTGCTCTATACGCCTTATGCTATATCCAGCCACTTATCCACTGACAGGTGGGAAAAAAACAGTCAAAAAGAAAGAATCTATTAGATTGAAGTGGGATTTGCGATACTAGATAGAAAGCAGACTCTTAAAAGTAACAGAAATCTAAATTTTCCTCCAATTATTCCATATATTAATGAATCCTTAAAGACAATATGACATTTAGTTCTCTAACAAATACTTTCTGGATTGTCCCATTTGCCGGAAAATTTGTATGCATTTCATATTCGGATTGGCCCACCCTGCAGCAGCAGGTTTCTCCTTTCAGGCACCAAATTAATAGATGACCCATAACAAGTCTGCCAAGTTCAGGTTTGGAAAGTGGCATTAAATGAAAAATCTCAGACAGAAAAATCTGTCTCAGACAGAACTTCTACTGCATTTGAAGTAGATTCTGGTTTTCACAGAGAAAACTTGTATAACAAAATGTTGTAGCTGAGTACCTGAGGTATTATAGCTACAGGTTCATATGAACTAGCAGCCTGCAGCTTTATTTTATACTTCTCTCGTTCTGTATCAGATTTGCCTTGTCCTTGCTTCACGACTCAACACTTTTTTTTCCCAAAGACAATAGTCTCCAGTATACAGGCTGCATGCACACTGCAGATAAACTCTGCATGTTAACAAGTACTTAAAGAGAAATACCTATTTACAGAGGCCCCAGCAGGGTTTCTGCCAGCACACAGGCCAGGACCACTCCTGCCTTTTGAGTCCACATATATTGTTGGAAGACAGAACAATGCAATGGGCATGGGGCCAAACTGTGTAACTTTTCTGCTCTAGCCATGGGTATAACACTGCTATAAAGTGCATCTAATATTGTGTAGCTACTGTCTGCTTTCCCACTTTTCAAGTGTGACTAGGAATACAGAAAAATTATGTGACAAAACATCTGTACTGAATCATGGATACTGTTAGAAAGACGAGAACTAGGTTCAGTGCTGTGTGATTGGAAACACCTTCACACCATATTCACAGCATTAACTGTGACAATATGCACACAAATGTACAAATGCTGTTAGTTACTAGACTAGTCTTTGTACATATTGAATACATGTATTTGGAGGTCACTAATATTTTAAATGTCCTTAAGGCACTCTCAGGAGTCTAAACTCTTACTATTCAAGATTTGAAGAAAACATCTTCCTTCCTGTGGAAGACTTTGCAAAGAGTAGGTTATAATCCCTATTCTGTTTCTAGAAATTATATTGTTGCCTACTGGCAATAGAAAATTCTGTAACTTTTCATAAAAGAAGGCTCTATTTACAATTTGTTTAAAGAGTGTCACTGTGCTATTTTCAGCAGCTTTTTCAATAGTGTTCCAGAAAATTAATGGAGATAAATATAATATGAATAGTCAAGTGTAAGAGAAGCTAGATGAGAACAATTAATAGCCATTATAGCATAGGCTACACTTTGCCTCAACCCCTTTTTTTTAACAAAGGAAGAAAATTTAACTATTGGAATTTTAATGACAATTAATAGTTTAATTAGAAGATCTACTCTTACAACACAGAATTAACAAAGATAGGAACTTTGCTTCCTTTTTTAAAACAAAGTAAGGCATGCAGTGTTTGAGAAATACCTGGAATTTTTGAACTTGAGGAGAGGATAATGCTGCAAGAAGGAAAATTTGTCCTAGAATATACTCACGAGTTTACAGTTGCATTTGTCTCTGGAGTGGCTGTTTATCCAAACCTAAGTGTTCACAATACAAGCTAGACACAAGCATAGCACTTGAAGGGGGAGAAATAAAATTTAAAAAAAAAGCAGCAGAAGCAGATTTCCTCCTTAACTCTGGACTTTGAAGTTTTTCCATAAAAGACAGGACAGAAGAAGGGAAATAGTACAACACTGCACTTTAATATGGAATCTAGGTCAAGCTATCAAGCTCTGTACATTTCCTTGAAATTACTGTCAAAGCTTGCATCCTTTAACTCCTCATTAAACTGCAAACAAAAAAGTTGCAACTCAGCAGTGCATACTTGTTCCTTCATTTATACTTTTTTTTTCTTCACAACTACTTAATAGCAGTACAAACATGTATTATAGGAGAGGTGACAGGAATTTATGCACAACAACTTGAAGAGTACATCTGTGTCAAAATATAGTTTATAACTCATTTTGAGCACCAGCATACTTAAGACGCCAGAACCACTTACTTTATTGGTTCTTAATTCTTGGAAGGTCAGAATAAACAGATTGACAGTATGGAAGGAGCTGCAGCTCAAATACTTAAATACAAAGCCCTCCAAACTGTAACAATATATTTTCAGTGCTACAGCTCATTTCAGACAGATGCACTCCTCCAGACCCAGCTGAGCTGATAAAAATGCGTAACCATCCTCTGTGCCAGTTTCCTTCACGACTGCCAACAGAATCATTTGTGTGTGCCCTCCCTACACCAGTTCAATACAGGACAAAATAACAACTACCCACTTTTAAATAATTTAAGTTAACCAAACTCATTTTATTGAGAGATAGTAACTTTACCTGCAGAGCTATCTGCAGAATAAATATATATCCATCTACCCTCTCTGAACTTATAAGATGTTCCTTGAGGTGTCTCTTAATTTTGGTGAAATACAGGAGTTATGAGGCAGTTTGACAAAACACTGTGTTTGGTTAGCAGAGCTGAAGTAGCACAAGCACAGTTAGCCTTTCTTTTCCTTCATGCCCTCCTCAGGTATAACATCAACAAGTTGTTGATGAACGATGTTTCACGCCGTCTAACTCCTGAAACTGAGGAAGCTCCGGATCACAACTCATCTCTGTGCCAACATCTACATCCTGCTTTCAGCCTCAAGAAAAAATGCAGAAAGAAGTAGAAGAGGACATAGCCTGGGAGGCTGTATCAACTCGAGCAGTTAAACATCTTACTACAAAGTAGCCCAGAGATTATGGAGCAGCTTATTTCCAGCACACTTCTTATGAGAGAAACAATTCATATGTTATTATGCAAAGCACTGCACCAGCACAGCGCTACCAGGCATGGGGTAAGTCCTCCCAAAGTTTATTATGCAATTCAAGGGCCACTTGATGTGGCTTAGAGACAGAAGTTCAGCTCCAAATGCCAACAGTTTAGTTTCCCTGTCTGCCTCTACTATCAACTGTAACAGAGAGATAAACCTAAGCTGCACTGATATTATGAACTGCCATCCTACAAAGTTTTTCTGAAAATAGGTAATTATTCAAAGATAGAACTGAAATTAAGATGTTGCCTTTAAGAACAATGCAAGCGGACATTTGCCAAATGGAAGGGCAAGACTATTTGAGTTGCTAATGCTGCTTACAACAATAGAAACAACTTTAAAAGTATCCACCTGATACCACCTCTAAATATCACTGAGGAGGAACAATGATGCAGCTAATGCATTTTGAGTGCAGTGATAGCCATACAGTACATATTTTTGAGCTTCAAATTTGATAAACGTCTGAAAAAATATTTTAAAGTTGCAATAGGCTACTCAAACAAAGTTGTACTGTACCAATTAATTTGAACTGGAGAACCTTGTGTACTACATAGACCCTCTCAGAGTAGAATATTGCAAATAAAACCTCACTGATCATCCCATCCACAATTAGTACCCTAGACTTCCTTTATGGCTTAAGAGAGAGCAAAGTGCCCAGGAAAGAATCACAGGGCTGAACAAGTTTCTAACAGTTCAAGGAAACAAGTGTAATGCAGGTGAGTCCATCCCAGTGGTGGAAAGCAGAAACACAAAAGGAGTGAGGAAGGTTTTCACGTTGAGTTGCCACAACTCTTTCCTGAATGTACACCCTGTGTCTGCCATAGCTTCCTCTTATTGAAGTCTCCTTTCCTACCAACACACAGATGTACCCGTCAAACCTGACTCTCTTAAATACTATACCAAAACTTCATTAAATTTCTTGGAAAACCACGACTTACATAAAACAGTTTGTAGTGTAGTAGCACCAGGAAACAGACAGCAAACTGCTCTGCACCCAAAAGATAACCATAGATACACTAGCACGTAGATCATGCAATAAACTGCAATAGTTTTGATTATCATATAAGTTTGGAATAGAATTTCATATCTCTTCTCTTTACTAGAGTCACTTCACTAGAGTGTCACTTCAGCATATTACCTCTCACCAGACACTGCTTTTTTTTTTACTGACTTTGGCATCACTGTTTAACAAAGTGTTTAATGCACAAGTGTTTGTAATGCTCTGTGTTCATGAAGCAGGCTCAACATTTCATATGTATAAAGTGCTTGAAGCCAGCCCTCTGATCTTTACACATGTTTAACTAATAATTAACTAATAAGGTTTTCTGCAGTCTTATATATATACACATAGCTTGTTCAGGTGTTGATGATTTCAGGTAGGTTACTGGCTGTAGTTGTTTTGAACATCCTACCTTGAATTCCATTCAATCTTCCTTTTTTGGCTGAGATTTTTAAAACCAGGTGTTATTCGTGTTGACACCCAGGAACTTACAACATGGAACAGGAGCTGAAATATAGTAAAACTGGCAACAGCAATGCCAATAGTCAGGTTGCTGAAGGAAGCCATTGTTCTTCAGCCTGTGAAGAGAAGCAGAAGGTAATTTCAGTCCATTCTCCATTTAACTACTTTAAGCAGACACAGAAAGTGTTTTTTGGCAGATAACTTACAACAGAAATATTATTCACTAAAAGTTTCAACCGGTTCAGTAAAGCCTTAATAGTATAAAATTATGCCCAAAGTTTTATATCTAGAAGTCGCATTTGGTTTTGTTTTTAACATTTGCACACTACATACATTTTTGTGACCCAAAGTTGCATGTATTTTATCTTTACAGAAAGGGCAGGGAGGATCAATGACCAGTGCAACTGCCATCTCTAAAGCCTCCACTCCTGTCTCAGGAAGCTCCAGAGTTAAAACTCATCTCTTTCTTACCAGATTGACTGCTGCCAATGGGATTCTAAAACACAACAATGAAATCAGATCAGCATAGTAGAGAGGTTTTTGGGTCAGCCTTGAGAAGCAATAGCCTCACTGCAGCTTTCTGGTTGTGTGCTTTACAGACACAATAGTTCTCAATTTGCACTGTGTTCACACTTGAGGGCTTGTCTGTATTTGAGATCTTTTCTTCATCACTTAAGTCGAAACTTCACACAATTTCACTGCATACTGAAAAGCTTCCTATCATCAGAGCTAGTGGACTTCTCAGTTGCTGGATTGTTAGCTGTTTCATGAGGTCTAAATAAATTCCAAACATAAGTCTCCCAATGCTTCAGTCATTTCCCCTGAGTTGCCAGTATTTGCAAGACAAAATCGTATTTTCCCAGAAGCCACAAACTTCTGACATACATCTCCAATTTGATGGTTGTGTGTTTTATACTCCAAGACTGGCAGAGGTTACAAACTCATAAAACATCAAGTTACATAAAGTCGAACAGAGAAGGAAAAAAAATAAGGCAGAAGTCTTGCTTTAAAATATTTAAATAATGATTTTAGTATCTATTCAAATAACTGCTCTCACTTTGATTTTACTTACGAAAATATATAAAAATAAAATTAAGGCTTATACAATAGCATAATTTAATGTTACTACAGCAACTGAATGGTCAGTAAAAATGATAAAATTATATAATACACTTATGCCCACCTTTATTTCACATGCTTTATGGTATGAGTGAACATGCCTTAGATTTTTGAAACTGTTATCTGCATTGCAGGTGGTAAGAAACTTCAACAGGAAAAAGAAAGAGAAGTCCACCCGTGAAAATAATAACTTTTTTAAAAATTAAGTACAATATTCTCACTTTGCAAGGTAAATGGTGAGTATATTGAAACAGGTAGATCAAGAAAAAAAATACTTGTGTCTTCAAAGATTTAGAAGCAGAAGGTTCGATGACCTCAAACTTTTTCCCCCCCATCTCCTTCTTTCCTATTTATTCTTCCCAGAATTGAAGAGAAAAAACATCCTCTGACTGGTACCCATGGAACTACAGCTATATAAACAGAATGCAGGACAAATAAGTAGATTTGCTAAGTTAAACCTGCACCCATATCATACAGATTTCATGTGTTTACTTCAGATCAGCTTTAATCCTGTCCTGGGGACTCCACAGTTCTTAGAACATATTTGATGTGCTCCTTGGGCCTATCTAGGGCTTGCATGTGCTCTGGGACAGCTAATCAACACAAAATGCTGCAATGCATTGCATCAAACTAGTTGATTCCAATTGTTTTCTGATTACCTTTTCTAGTTCAGCAGCATACTAATCCTGCATAGTTTTTAATGTTACTCTATTAAAACTTCCAATTTCAATTACTATCCTGATATTCAGTATTCTCGATTCTCCCTGTACTTGTCCATCTGCCTCCACTGACCAAGAAGATGCAAAACACAAATAAAACTTTATCCAGTTTTTACGCAGTTTTAAGTACTTGAGCCAATGGGTGTTAAGCTTGATTTTCTAAAACTTTACCAATTGAAGGAACAATCTTCCATTTTAAACCCACTGAGAAGCACTCTATGTTACAGATTCTAATCCCAGGGCCAAAAACTTTGTTATTACGTCATCTGATTTGTAGTAACCAAATCTCTCTTGGACTATGTAAGGGGGAAAAAAATAATCAGTTGATTTAATTCCTAAAGTGAAGGAAGCCAAAATCCAGGTTAAGGACAATTCTCTTCAGAAAAACAGCAAAATCACTGAACATCAATCACAGCTACCTTATCCTTTTAACTAAAATAAAGCAATTCCATGATGCTACAAATTTTATTCACCTGCAACGACTAAACTAGTACCTCTGAGTTTCAAAGACACTGACATAATCTCTTGGACAAGAGAAAGCCATGTTTTGTTTTGCTTCCTTAGAACCAGAAGATTTTATTATGTAAATAATATTTCAGTGTTTGACAGGTGTTCATTTTAGTAGAAATTATGGAATTAAACAAAAAAACCTTCCAACCAATCCTTGCAAGAAATGCATTAGAAGACTAATCTTTCTCCTAAGAAACTTGTACAGGGCCCTTATTTTAAGAAAAGGGACTTCCACTGTAAGTGCTTGATCTGACTTTCAGAAGTTTCAGCAGCAAATACAAAACAATGCCCACAAAGGAGAAAGTATGATAGCTTAGAGAAGAAGAAAAGAGAGGTAGAGAAGAAACTATAGTCAATCAGCCTCTGTGACTGGTCTTATAGATACTCAAGTTTTGCAAGCCTGATTTCATACAAGCTTATCAAGATGCTGTTTAAGTAAATGAACTACCAAGTCCAGGAATAATTGCGTGTTTTACTTCAGCAAATTAACAGTGTTGTATTTTAATTCAATTCAAGGACCAGGTGTAAACAGTGTTTTATGTGAGATCAAAAAAAAAAAACAGTTCAGCTATAACCATTTTTTCATATCTCTTAGTCATTTTCAACTATATGCTGTTTAACATGAAAATTAACTGTTGTTTAGCAGACTGTCTTTTAATTTACAAGAAAAACATTCATGTTGTCAAACAAAAGGTTATGACTTAAAAGAAACATAACAAGCTTCTGATTACATACAATTTCTTTGCCCTGAGGACAGTGACCAAAATTAGCAAGTCAGAGGCAGCTTCAACTACATTGTGCTTTTTTCCCCTCAAGTATCTTCTTATAGATGTCCAGCAAAGTCTGATCAAGTTACAGAACTCAGTGGATTATACAGGAGCAGACACTTTATCACCCAAACTGCATAGTCATTGATTACCATTCAGTCAGCTGATATGGGTTTTGAGCTAGTGGAAGGCTGGGTGGGGAGGGAGGTTTAGTGTAACTACTTTGTAATTCAGGAAAAAAAGTACTATATCCAGGTTGGTTCTTCACAACTAGTTTTTTAGGAGTAGTATTTCCCTGGCTTAGCCAAAATTACTGTCTTAGCCATTCAGTTAGACAATAATTACACACGGTTAGAACTTCACTCTTGCAGCTTTTCAGTGAAGTCTTCAGGTAAATAAACACTACCAAACACTTGAAAGTAACAATTTTCAGCAAGGTATTGCTTACATATGTCTAGCGTGATTTCAAATTACTCTATTGAACCATTAACTTCAAAAAAGTTAATAACACAACTTTTCCATCATACTCAGTAAGAGCTAAAAATGTTGGGTTTCATCTGCTATTAACATGCAGTGGTTTTCCTGAAATTCTGTTTCTACATGAAATTTAGAAGAAAAAGCACAACAATATTAAGACTCCTCATTCATTCACCGCCAACACGAAAACATTAGGAACTTCTGACAGAAACAAGTCTGCACTTACTGGAAGAGAATAAAGGAGCAGAAGAGTTACCAAGCATTGTACCATCAAAGGCATTCAACATTTATGCTTCCCTCATCTTACTGTTTCCACATCAATTTTTCACATCATAAAAATAAGAAATGCAATAGTATAGCCACAAGACATGGTAAGAAGGTGCAGATGAAGGTTTAAGGCCCACAGCCCTTACTTTCTTCAAGACTGGATTTCAAGATGAATTGGATCAATTTCCAAACAAGATTACAACCTAAAGCTGCTAGTGATACCAAGACATCCCATTCAGTCCTATGCTCTCCTGATCCGCTTAAAACTGAAAGCCAAATCCCATAGTTGTAAAATTTGTCACACCAATCTGCAGCAAGCAACGTCGGACTGTTTGCACATTTTATAATAAGCCCAGTAATAAAACATCTGCAGTGCTGGAGCTCTGCTGTGCTGTTGGCTCCAAAGGATAGTTTCTATTGCTCCAGCTAGATTAGATGTACTGGGTTTGATATCTTAGCTCAGTAAGCAGCATTAAGGAGAAACACGACAAAATTCAAGCTACTCACAGCTTAAGCCATTCCCTTTTCTATTTAAGGCTATTCACCCCCCAAACTCCACTCTGCTTTCCCCTCTTAGAACACCAGAGCCACCGGCAGATTAGGCACACTTTCTATAAAGGCTGAGGTGTCCGCCGCGATACCATTTACCAAATTTCCTCAAACCCTCCAAGGAGCCGGGAGCCGCGAAGCTACAGCGAGGGACCCCCCCCCCCCCCCCCGGCCGACCCCGCGGGGCCGGGGCGCTGCCCCTGTGCCGGGCGTTACCTCGCCTTCCCCGGGCGCCGTTCGCCCCGGCAGCCCCGCACGGCTCGGGCGGGCAGCGCTCGCTCACCCGCCGCGCTCGCTCCGCCCGCGTCCGCACCCGCTGCCGGGCGGCGGGACGACCGCGACAGCCGCGGTGCCGAGCGCTGTCAGCGCGCCCAGTGCCGCCGGCTGCGGCTTGCGGCCCTCGGCCCCCGGGGGCGGACCAGCGCGGTCGGAGGGAGGGAGGGAAGGGGCCGCTCCGCGCAGCCCCGCGGGGCGGGGGAAAAGAGACCGCACCGCCCCCGCACCGCCCCGCCCCGCCCGCCCCGGCCCCTCAGCGCCCACCGCCCGCCCCTCCTCGCCCGCAGCACCTGGGAGCGGGGCTACGGGGGCTGCGGCGCTTCCTCCATCGGGGACGGGACAGCGTTTCCCGGGCGCAGGATGCTCCGGCTGGGATCGGGTTACGGCAGCCGGAGCCTTAAAGGGCCCGAGCCGCCGCCGCCACCTGCCGCC